GGTCCCGTCAGGTCACGGCTTTGTATCTACCCTTTTCCATGAGATGTTGGGTTCTCACAGATGTAGCCTGCCTCATGTACTATATCTTCTGGTCACTATTTTAGGAATAGTTGTATTTGCTGTATTTTCAAAATATATGTGGTTTTGGGATGTTTCTGCCACTCTACTTATGCCACCATCTTGAGAATCTTTTTGGCTTGTGCGTTTTTTTATCTCCTGGCATGTTCTGCCCCCACCTCCAGGTGTTGAAATGACCTGGCCTTTAAGGCAATTTCCAAATTTTAACTTTTTACTGAGGTTTTTCTGGATCAGCCTAGTTAGTTCACGAGGACTTCTGCTCAAGCACTAGAATCCCCTCACTCCCACCCACCACCACCCCAGGAACTGCCCGAGGCACTGCCTCCATGCCTGGCCCTGTCTCCACTGCCAGCCTCTGCCTACCTGCTCTCCTCTCTCTTGATAACCTCTCTAAGTTCTCTTCTCTAGACCCTTTCTCTGCTCTTAGCTCCAGGGCTCTTAGCACTTAGAACTCTTTTATAGCAATACCAGCAGTAAAGTCTTATTGCCAAAGGGTATGTAAGCATGTGCCTGCGCAGTAGGCTAAGTTATCAGGTGAGAATCTTGACCACAGAACTTCCATTTTCCCTGCAGCATGCCTCTGTAAAATTTGCAGGAATAAGGTATTTTAACTGCAATCTCTTAAGGCCACTTGTGTGAGGTGATGTTGGAGTGGCCAGTGGCACTTTTGGGATCCAGATGAAGGGGCCATAGATGCAGACACATTTTCTTTTAGTTTAATGCAGTATGCTTAGGTGGTTTTCAGTGACTTGAAGGCCTATCTAAGGTATTATTAAGTAGCTGGTATCAGAATGACTTCCTGGATGTTTCTGTGGCCCATTCTGTCCACATAGCCAGCAGTGTGACAGGAAGGTACAAGGCCAGAGGCCACAGCACAACATGAAGGTACTAGATGTCCCTGTGACAGGCATTCCCACAGGGCCCCAGGGGTCCTGCTTCTTGCTGTGCAGGCTGTAGGGGAGGAAAAAACCCTTTCTTTCTAACCTCATAGCTTCTGCAGCTGGGGCCCTGGAAATGAACCTGACAAGAGACAGATTAATAGGAGTAAAGAAAGCAGAGTTATTTACATGTGCAGAATGCATTGCCATGGGAGAAACTCAGTGATAAATTAAGTCAAAGGGTGATTAGCACTTGTCTTTATGTGGTTAAGATTACAATATTTACAGACTCTCTCACCTGGTCTTAGTGCATCTCCGTATCAGTAGGTGTTTCCAAGGGGTGGACAAAAGCAGTCATCTCCATATCAATAGGTAATTACAAGGGGAAGGAGGGCATATCAAGACTGGAGAGGTCGGGTGGAGCCCCTTTTTGCAGCTGGGTCCCAAGGGACACATGTGAGCAGAAGTAGATGACTATTTATAAGCAATAAATGGGTTTCTCCCACTTTATTTCTTTGACTTATTTTGGTTTCAAAGGTAATTTGCCCTAGACTGGGAACATATTTTTGCCCAGAATTACATTTTATCTATCTTCTTAACAAAGAACAATAAATTTGTAGAGAAGTGAGGAGGAAAGGAGATTTGGAGTTTTAAGAGTGGCAAACCTGGGAAGGTAAATATATAGGGGAAACTAATGGAATTTAAGTGTTGCTTTGGTAAGGTTTGTTATGTAGATTCTTTCAGTTCTATCTGAGCTAGTAAGAGTCTAAAGTCATCTCCAGTGATTAAGAGTCTATGAGTTGTCCTCCCTTAGGGAGAGGGAGATACCTTTTACAAATGAAAATGTACATGGTGTTTTATGCAGATAGGTGAAGGGCAGAGAGCTTTCTTTGCGTGTCTACTGTTTCTTAATTCTCTTCAGCTTGAAATAATTCTTATGCCAAAGTGGCATATTTTGGGGTGGAATATTCTGATCCCCTCCAACATTCTGTGTAATCCCCTGTGTAACTGGGCATGGGCAGGGCCTAGAGATTCCCTCCTCCTGACTAAGTGATAGGATATCACTTCTGTGAATAGGTCTTAACACTCTCTCCAACTCTCTTTTACTGACACTGAAGAAGCCAGCTGCCATGTTGTGAGATGCTCTGGAGAGGCTCATATGGAAAGGGAAAAAAAGTTATGGTAATTATGTGAAATAGAATTTGTCAGATTCCTGTGTTTGTAGGCACAAACCTATAACACATCTTTTACAGCTGTGCTATAGGTGAAAGAAATTAATGGAGGTTTTCCAAATATTCCTACAAAATACAGGGGGAAAGGTATTATAGAGGCAATTAATCAAAAAATTATGTGTGGGTAAAATTGCAATATTTCCAGAATCTCTCACCTGGCTTTAGTGCATCTCCATATCAAGAGGTGTTTCCAAGGGGTGGAGAGAAGTATCCATTTACATATCAATAGGTTATAACAAGGGCGTGCAAGTGTTTTTCTGGACCGGAAAGGCTGGGTGGAGTTCTATTCTCCTGCAGCCCCGTCAAGAGAGAGACGGGATGACTGCTTGTAAGAAATAAGAAGGTTTCTTAACTTTATTTCTCCCTTTGACTGATTTCAGTTTTAGAGGTATTTTGCCCCAGGATTTTCCCCCCACAGTTACATTATGTTTTCTGAATTTTGTGGTGTTTGAAGTATAGGACAGGTATTTAAAATGCATACTTTGTTGTCACTTATTTTCTTTCTTCTAAATAGAAGTATTTGTTTTCTGACCTGATTTTTACCTTTAATTTTGTGATCTTTTTCTTAAAGAGCCCACTGCAATTATATCAGTTTTTCAGCCCCATATAACTGGGATAACTGGGATCTGTGCTTTCTTTTTCCCTGGTTCTGTTTTTATTTAAAATTTTGATGTTTTATTTCTCAAGGATTTCTTGTATTAATTTTGATTTTTAAAATACTGAATTTAATGCTATTTATATTGATTGCTGAGTTTTTGGTGCTCCTTTAAATTTCATACCCTAAGCAAGTGCCCAGCTTTCCTCACCTGAGTCCTGACCCTGCTTATTGGAAGTGGTTGGAAAGTAATCAGAGCACACTTCCTTTTTCAGCAGCCCTTCCTGACTCCTTGGGTGAAGGTTTAATTTAATGTGGTTTTGAAAAATCAAAAAATATATATATATTAAATAAAAAATTGCACTGTATTTACAGTGTTATAATATAATATAGTATTACATTATAATATATATTGGATATATAGGACTATTTGTACATATATATAGTATATATGCATATGTATATGTATACATATGTACATATATATGTGTGTATATATAGCCATATGCTTATATATGCACAGTTTCATTGAAAAGTTATCCAAAAAGCTAGTAGTAGAGCATGCTCTAGGGAAAAGCAAATAGGAATGACAGAGATAAAACTTACCTTAGAAAATGTGTTTTTATATTTTTAAGGAAAATCTTCCCAAGATAAATATTTTTTTTTTTCGTTATTACAAGAGCAATATATGTTCACTATGGAAAAATTAGAAATATAAAGTTGGAAACAGAAAGTATAAACTTAATAATCTCATCATCCAGCAATAATCCTATAATTAATATCTTAGTGTTTGTCTTTTTCTATCTTCCCCATTTTCACTCCTGCAAACGCGGAGCATTTATGCCTGCTTCTCTGGCATGCTTCTTACCATTTACTGCGCTAGTTGGTTCTGACTTGTTTCAAGATCTTCTTTCCAGTTAGTATATCTCTGCTTAGAAAACAGAGGCTGTGTCTTTTTTACTTACCTGGAGTCTGGAAGTGCAAGCTTGGACTGAATCAAAGAGCTGTAGGACAGAATATCTGAGTTTAAACCCCAGCACCACAATTTTTGCAAGTTATATGACTTCTCTGAGCTTTCCCATCTGAGTTTTCTCATCTGTAAAATGGGATAATGTTTGTGCCCACTAACATGGAAAATCCATGCAAATTGCCCACCACAGAGCCTAGCATGTGCTGGTGTAAAATGATTGTTTTTTACTATTACCTATTAGCATGTGCATTCACTAACACATATTTAGTGCATGCCTACTCTGTGCCAAACATTCTTCTAGGTACTGAGGACACAGCAGTCAACAAACAGACAAATCCCTGCCTTCAAGGAACTCACATTCTAGTGTCTGGGAGTAGGAGACAAACGATATACAAATAAATACATAAAACATGCAGCATAGCTGATATGATATGTGCTGGGAGGGAATATACAACTTTGCACAAAGAAGGTCTTCATTAGATGTGTTGATTTAGCTGCTTTCTTCCTCCTGGCTTCTCATCCTCAACTTTCTTTCTGACCCAAGGTCCCCTTTCCAATGTGATAAGGTAATGTACACAGGGCTTAGACTCTCTAGACTGGCAGTGTAGACGTCATGCAACCGATTCCAGGTTTATGACTGGGAATGGTTACAGCGCGTCATCCAACATTGTACCTATGCCATCGGGAGACACCAACAGGTGTTTTGACGTACGTTTTCTTCCGGATGATCACACTGTTGTACTCTAAAGTTTACACTAGTCTGTGATCAATAGTTGCTGCTCTGTGAAGTCAGGACAGTAAACATTGGCCCTGGGGCCCTGTGTCAGGTGAGGAGTCCAGAGGCCTGGCTGCAGAGTGTTTATGGCCCTGGTGTCTCCTGTCCTAGATGTTTCTGGCCCAGCCCTGCCACAGACACTTTTCTCTGTGTTGACCTATCCTCTGCAAACTCACAAGCTGTTGATGTCACATTTCAAACATCACTAGGACCTCAACTCGAACCTCATGCACTGTTTGTGCATAAACAACACAATTGTAGGGCATACATCTGTTTGTAAATAAGCAGAAGAGCAAAGACAGGGTCAAAAAGTATGAGCCCAAGCCCAAAATAAATCACAGGGTGAGGAACTAGGATTTTTTTTAAAAGGGAGAAAAAAAACTTAAGAGCATATTCAATATGTGACAAATGTAGGGTGTTCTTGTGAGACTTTAAATATGTGGGGGATTTAAATACCATGGCAGAGGGGTTGGGGTGAGTAGGTGAAATAGATGAAGGCGATAAAGAGGTACAAAATTTGAATCCTTATATAAATTAGTTCCTGGAATGGAAGTACAGCATAGAGAATACAGTCAATGATTCGGCAACATTTTTTTTATGCTGACAAATAGTAACTACACTAGCTGGAGTGAGCATTTCATAATGTAGATAACTGTCAAATCACTGTGGTGCATACTTGAAACCAATATAATATTGTATATCAACTATACTTTAATAAAAAAAAACTTAGAGCATATCCAACATGTGATAAATATAGGGTGTTCTTGTGAGACTTTAAATATGTGGAAGTAGTTACTGTAATATTCTCATATCCAAGCATCAGCATATTAGTTCACACAAACTTTAAGCTCTTATACTGTATATTCACACTTAATAATTTCATTATTCCATTATTATGATGGTTAAAATTCCTCAACACATATTGTTTGCCACAAACTAGCACTGGATTTGTTTTAATACTGCTTACTTTGTGTGTATTGGTAAAGCTTAAATTGGGTAAAATTTGCAATTTTTCCTTTTTCCAAATGTAGTTTTCCACAGGAAAACAAATCCATAAATTGGTCCATATGGTAGTCAGCTTCCAGAGTAACCCCTGTGATCCTGGCTTCCAGGTGTTCACGCCCCTCCCACACCTGTGAAACCAACAGGAAACTGTGGAAGTGACTATGTAGATTTCTGAGGCTCCATCATAAAAGACACTGAGGCTTCCCCTTGTTCTTCTGCATCACTTCCTTTGGGGAAGGCTGCCACCATGTTGCGGGAATGCTCCACAGTCCTGGGGAAGAGCCAGCACCCACCTGCGTGGACTGTCCTCCTTGGAAGTGGATCTAAGCCTTCAGATGACTGTAGCCCTGGCCAACCATCTTCACTGAAACCTTGTGAGAAACTGAGTCAGAACTAACTCAACCACTCCCCAATTCCTAGCACTCAGAAACTGTCAAATAGTAAGTGTTTATTATTGTTTTGTGCTACTAAATTTGAGATGATTTTGTTATGCAGCAGTAGGCAGCGAATGCATTCTAGATAACTAATGCATAAATGTTTATAAAAGCATAATGAGTATCTAGAAAGTTGTACATGGGAAGTGTGGTAAACTGAGAGGAGGTGAAGTAAAAAGAAAATTAGTGTTTAATTCTATTGCTTTAATTTTTTCTTCAGATGAATATATGTATTTTCAATTTAAAGATTTTAAATAAATACATTTTAAAATAAATAAAAAATAATTAAAAATTAATGTTAAGACAAAATTTTAAAGCAGCCACGATGTTCTTCACTAGGTGACTGGATCAGCTGTGATTTATCTATCTGTTGGGGTATTATTCAACAATTTAAAAAATATGAGCTATCAAGCTGTGAAAAGACATGAAACTTAAATGCATATTGCCAAGTGAAAGAAGCCAATTTGAAAAGGCTCCATACTGTAGGATTCCAAGTATGCAACATTCTGGAAAAGGCTAAACTAAGGAACAGCAATAAAAGCAGTGTTGTGAGGGACTGGCGGGGAGGGGAAGGGTGCGTAGGCAGAGCAGGAGGACGTTTGCGGTAGTGACGCTATTCCGTATGGAACTGCAATGGTGGCTACATGTCACTATACGTTTGTCATAGTTCATAGAATGTACAACACAACGCATGCACACTACTGTAAACTCTGGCCTTTAGTCAATACTGTGTCAAAATGAGCTTTTCAATTGTAACAAACGTGCCACATTAATGCAAGATGTTACTAATAGGGGAAATGGAGTAAGATGGGGCAGGGGGCAGGAGGTGTATGAGAACTGTACTTCCCACTCAATTTTTCTGTAATTCTAAAACTAAGAAATAACGTCTATTGATTATTTTTAATATGAAATAAAGACAAATACGCACACACAGATATGACATCATGACATCTAATTTGCCAGAGAACCAAATCAGGGCCAGCTGAGCAACAACTCTGGCAAGTTGGCTCTTTATGGCAGCTGGCTTCTCCCACAAGAATGGATCCACATGTTACCCTTGTTTCTACCAGCGTTTTTTCCAGCCAGCAAACCAGATAAAAGTAAAAAAACTTTGATGTCAGAATGGAGAGTGCTCCAAAATGTGGCACGTATTGTTAAAGCATGCCCGCCAAAGCCAAATGCAGTTTGATAATGGATTCCTTTAATGTTCCAGAAGGTCCCAGGCCAGAGTCACCAGCTCTGAAAGAATGCGGCCATGGCCCCTCTGCAGGGCTTCGGACCACAGAGAGGCAGCTCCACTTGACCACACCCCTGCCCAGCAGGTCAGGTTTCTTCCCTGGGAGGCAAAGGATGGCCAGCCTATTGCAGGGAAACAGGACAGGATACAGACTGAGCAGGGGATTTCGATGGTATCCCACCAACTATCTCAAAAACAATCTCTTCTCTTTAAAAGCTACTACATGTGTCCAGATCAATAGCCTTTTCAGTCTATTAAACTCTCTTAAAATAAAAAAAAATCTCTGGATTTGGATCACAAGAATTTTTTATGAAAATTTTCGCTCCCAGATATTCAAATTCTGTTTCCTGTATTCCTACAACAGGTCCATGGATATAATCTTTGATGTTCTTTTTACTAGCATTTTTAAGAGCTTCTTTCATTTGCTTTTACTGATTTAAAAACATCTATGTTGTGGTATAATTCACATATCATACAATTCACCTATTGAAAGTATAAAATTCAGTGTTTTTAGTATATTCACAGATAGGTGCCACCATTACCACAGTAGGTTTTAGAATATTTTTACCACATCAAAAAAAACCAAATAAAAACCCTTATCCTTTGGCTCTTGCTATGAACATACATTTGACCTACTGAAACCTACTAAGCTAAAAGTTCAGGGGATGACTAATATTTCTATCTTTGTCTCATTTGTGTTATAAATAGGACAAAAATGCAATAAAATATTCAAATAATTGAGACTAAAATTTAAAACTCTTTAGTGGAAGGAGACTATTTAGTGGAAGAACATTTCATCTAATAAAAGCTAAAAAAAGTAAAAAATATCTGCAGATAAACAAGAAATATACAGAGTCAAGTCTATACATAGAAGAAAACTATATTTCTACTAAGAGATTCAAAAGAAGATTTAATAAATGAAAAGGTGTCCCATGTCCTTGGATAGGAAGAAATGATAATAGCAATGTTAATTCTTCTTAGTGAATGCACAGATTTATTATGGCCCCAACAAAATAAAATTTTTTTGGAGAATTATATACTAAAATTTATATAAAAATAGCCAGGAAAATTCTGAGAAAAAGAATAAGGAAAGGGTTGATCCTAACACAGATTAAAGTATATTTTAAAGGCACTTACCTGATAGACTGTTCCTGACATATGAATAAGCTGAAAGACCAATAAAAGTTTAGAAAACCTAGAAATCAATGCAAATAGCTATAAGAACTATGTGGTAAAGGTGCCATTTAAAATCAATGGAGAAAAGGTGACTTATTTAATAACTACAACTGGGAAACTACTTGACCACCTGTCCTAATTCTAAGTTCCAGATAGATGAAAAATTATAATATAAAAATAGAAAACCAAAGAGACCAGAATGGAGTAAAAAAAAACAAAACAAAAACAATCATACACTGGAGAAGACCTGACCTAAGCAAGGAAAAAATCAAAGGCCTCCCGTGAATTTACCTGCAAAAGATAAACATCAATTTACCTGCGTAGAAGTCCAACCTTTCTTCATGGAAAAAAAAAGCTATAATAAACAAGACCAAAAGAAAACACACAAGGAACAATAATTCCAACACCTATGACAGAGGGTAGCCTTCTGGGAGGTCAATGTGACAGTATTGATCAATGTTTTCAAAGCAAATAGTTTGGACTTAAAACTCTACTTCTATAACTTGATCCCGTACTCCCATTTGTATGTACGTATCTCACTGAAGTACTATTTGTAATAGGAAGAGATCAGAAACAACTTACATGTTCTATTAAAAGGGAACAGATTCAGTACATTACTCAGATCTGCAATTTTTGGTATTGGTGCAGCCCTTAGGAATACTGGGGTAGTTTTTGTGTGCTGGTGTGAAACAATCTCCAAGATACAGAGTGTGGGTAAAATTGCAGTATTTCCAGAATCGCTTGCAGGGCTTTAGTGCATCTCCATATCAGGTGTTTCTAAGGGGTGGAGAGAAGTAGGCCATCTTCATATCAGGGGGTAATTACATGGGCGAGCTAGGGCTTATCTGGACTGGGAGGTTGGGGGGTGTTTTGCTCGCTTCTGCTGCAGCAGGAGAGAGAGAGATGTAGGATGACTGCCTGTAAACAATAAACAGCTTTTAAACTTTATTTCTCCCTTTGACTGATTTCAGTTTCAAAGGTATTGTGCTCCAGGATTTCCCCTCCCTGGAGTTAGATGTGGTGGTAGTTGGCAGGACCTCTGAACCCAAAATCTGTCTATATGGGAGGGACCCTTGTGCGGGCTGCCCCTAGAGATGGTGGGGAGATGCCCAGAAACCCCCCTGTGGATAGTGGGGAGGCCCTAGTGGATGCAGTGGCAGAGGGTGAAGCTTCACCTGGGAGCCCCCAATCTGTGGGAGTCCATAGTGGGGGGCTGCTCTAGGGTAAAGCACCTCTTAGAGGAGTGGGGCCTTCCCCAGATCTGGAGAAAGGTGGAGACACCAGAAGTTGCAGAATTAGCCTTTTGTCAGATAGAAGACTGCTTAGAGGCCCTGAGTGGCCATGTAGCAGCTGGCATTTTAGGGCCTCTTTTCCTCGAGATAGTGGGAAATATTATCGGAGAGAGAGAGAGGACTATTGAGGAAAAAGAGAGGGTTATTGAGGAGAGAGAAGGACTTCAGCAGGAAGGAAACACACTTCAGCATTGCTTGGAGGAGCTGGGTGATGACCTACGGGATGCTCTTAAGAAAGAGAGACAGAGAACATATGGGATGTGAACAGTTCCCAGGAATGGGTTGTTTTAATTTGTCTGATTTCTCTCAGACTGTTCAAGTACAGTTGGACAATATCTATCATATCATAGATAAATTTTCACAAATGCCTAGGATGCCTAACTGGTTTTCTTGGTTTCACTGGAGATGGCTGGTAATTATAGATCTGCTTTGGTTATGTAACTGTATTCCTATTATGTTAATGTGTGTG